GCCTTTTCTCTCTTTGTAGAGTATCTCACACTTGGTTCTTAGCATCTGATCCTCTAAATATCTATTTTCTCTGCTGGCAGGGGTCACATTCCTTAAAACTAGTGTCTCCTAGAGGTCTAGGAGCTACCATTTAAGAGATACATGGCTGATGTGGGAATGGAAGGAGAAAGAAATTTTCTTCTTCCCTCTTGAGGGTTCTTCTCTACAGGCAGCTCTTAGCTTTCAGTCTCTCCCATTGTTGAACTTTGAATGGTGATATCTTCTACCTTGATGCTAGATACCAGGACCAGTGGAAAGTAGGATCAGAGAAATCCCCTACCATACACCTACTCTAAGTTTTGACTGCTCCATGCTTTATAGGACTCAACTACTTAATTGGTCCCTGAAAAATACCTTTTTCAAACAGTTCAAGAAACACCTTGAAAGAGAAAAATCTGCATCCTATGGATGTGGAATCCTAAAACTGGAAGAAACTTTAGAACAGAACATGCAATGTTAGAGAAAGAAGGACCCTTTAGAGATTATCTGGCTCAACTCTCTCATTTTTCAAATGATGCAAACTAGTTAACAGGAAAGTTAAATTACTTTCCTATGATCCCTTGGGGTGTTATTAGATTTTACCAAATAATAAATGAATGAATTCACATTTTCCCACTGGAGTCTCAGTTCTCAAAATGTGTTGGACTATCTCAGCATAATGTTCATTTTCCTGAGTCCTAATGTTATTCATATGCAAATATTATGCATCCTACCCATAGTGAATAGGTTATGTGCTTTGATTTTTTTTCCTCCCAGGAGTTGGGAGATGAAATTTGCATTGAACTATCTACTTGGTCTTCTCATTCCCCTTGTAATGAATATCACTGTGATGTGATCATCACCATTTTTATAATGTAGGTTTTACAAGTACTACTTTCTAGAGGCATTTCATTTTCAAAGCACTAAATTTGCAGATAGAGTATAGTGCCACCAGGTGGTGGTGGCTTGGTCCACAACCACAAGTCTGAATATAGTCTAGAAACATTATCTGACAACTAGGTACTGATACTTAATGGTTCTGTTCTTGGGCCTGGTTCATTCCATTTCTCAGAGATGATACTTGCTCTTAGATTTCAGCTGCAGGGCTTTGGGCCAATTTGGCTCCAAAATAATTCCAAGCCTGTTCCCCCATGTTGTAGTCTACCTATCAGTAGTTTCTTTTAGAGCTCTGGGTTGTTTGAAGTCTTCATCTCTTCTTTATTGAGTTGTCTGAGGAAGAGCTGCTAGGGGAGTGTGAAGAAGAAAACCTCTGCTTTCCAACATTTAGCGCCCTGCCCTCATCCTCCATTTAGTCATAGAATCATGGAATCTATAGAGGAACATGATTTCAGCCAGAGGAATTCGGGAACTCTTCATGGAAGAGAAAGTATTTGGGCTGAGCCTTAAACTGTGGGCAAGAATTAGTCACAGAGAGTTGGGGTAGGGAAAAGGCACGACAGCCAGAGAGAAGCAAAGGGAGAGAAGCAGGAAACTCTGGGCTATCTTGGGGGTTTTCCTTCCAATTTTTCTCCTCTTTCTAACCTTTCTGTTACAGTCAAGTACATCAACCATCCTGCTAATCATCCTGGCTCATAGCCTGGGTATCATCTTCAACTCCCTACTTTCTTTCATATCCAATGTGCTAATAACCAATCAGTGGTCGAGTCCTATTGTTTCTGCCTTTATAACATCTCTTGTATATACTCCCTTCTTTCATTTGACACTGAAGCCATCCTGGTGCAGACCCTTCACCACTTAACACCTGGACTACCCCAATAGCCTTGTGGTTGAACTTCCTGCCTCAAGTCTCACCACATGCCAGTCCATCTTCCGCTTAGATGCCAAATTGATCTTTCTAAAATGCAGATCTGACCATATTCAGTTAATTCTAGTGGCTCCCTATTACCCCCAGGATCACATATAAAACCTTCTGTTTGGCTTTCAAAGCCCATCTTAACTTGTCACCTTCTTACTTTTTCACTTTGTTTTGTTTTGTTTGGTTTTTTTCACTTCTTACTCCCCTTCACATACTTTGTGATCCAATGGTATTGATCTCCTTGCAGTTCCATGAAAGACACTCCATCTTCCAACTCTGAGCACTTTTACTGGCTCTTTCCTATGCCTGGCATATTCTTTCTCCTCCTTTTCTCCTTTTACCTTCCCTCAGTTCCTTCAAGTTTCAGCTAAAGTCTCACCTTCTACAAGAAATCTTTTCCAGTCCTTAATCTTAGTGCTTTCCTTCTGAGACTACTCCCCCCCCCATTTATCCTGTACATATCTTGTTTGTACACAGTTATTTGCATATTTGCATGTTGTCTCCCCCATTAGACTGTGAACTTGGGATCAAACACAATATGAGCTTCAGAATAGAAAGCTGAAAAGTGAACAGACTTCAAATTCCTCCAAATTTTTGAATATCAAATTTAAAAGTTAACTTCCTATAAGCTCTTGAGCAAAAAAGATTCTGTATTATCAGCTCCTAGCACAGTGCCAGCCACATAATGAGTTGTTGTTAAATTGTTTCAGACTCTTTGTGAATCCTTGTAGGCTTCTCTTGGCAAAGATACTGGAATGGTTTGCCACTTCCTTCTCCAGTTTATCTTACAGGCAAGCAGAGCTAAGGGACTTGCCAATGGTGGCACAGCTAGTGTCTGAGGCTGGATTTGAACTCAGGTTTCCTGACTCCAAGCTCAGCACTCTATCCACTGCACCACCACCTAGCTGCCCTTCCTAGGTATAAATCTCATTATCTTATAGCAGCCTAGTTCTAAAGGCCAGATACATCCCTCTGCCTTTGTCTCTGTGTCTCTCTCATTTCCTTCTTCCTTCTCTCTCTCTCTCTCTCTCTCTCTCTCTCTCTCTCTCTCTCTCTCTCTCTCTCTTCTCTCTCTCTCTCTCTCTTCTCTCTCTCTCTCTTTCCCCCTCCTTCCCTCCCTCCCTCTCAGCATTTTGGTCACAAAGTTGACAAATAATTTGAAAATATAGACTAGTAAATTAAATTCCACTGCTATGTCTGAGATAACTACCAAGGAGCATTCATGGGACTAAATCGAAGGTTCTAGGAGATACCAAATACTTTTTTCATTTCCCTTTAAGTTATAGATAACTATGGTGTCAGCCTGATAAGTAATGCTCAGAGCCAACAAAAAAATGGCTTTATAGCTTTGTTTTGGTTCATGAATTTTTTTATTTGAATGAGAAGCTTTTTCATTCCTTATAAGCAAAGAACTTATAGCCACTAAACCGAAAGTTACAATTTGTGATTGCCTCCTTGACTTAAGAAGGGTTAAGGTATAATGGAAGGAACAATAGATTTGAGGTCAGAAGGCAGGATTCTTTGAATCCCATTCTGTAGTTCTGTGTGACTTGAGACAAATCATTTCTCCAGGCCTTAGTTTCCTTTTATATAAAATGGAAAGATTGATTGAATTATCTTTAGGGTCCTGTATGTACTAAATTCATACTTTTATGTTCCTGTATGCATCATCTCAGACAAGTCATTTATTCGAATGTTTTCTGCCTTTCCTGGTCTGATAAACAGAACATGATGACTGTAGTAAGTGAGTACTTGCTTGTCAATTTTAGCAATTCCCTTTCCTCTGAATGCTGTTAACAAAAGACCCCCAGGCCCATGAAATGAAACAGAGTCTGATCATCAATTGAAAACATTTGTTGCTGAGAAAAAGACTACAGGAGAGCAAGGAGGGAAAGTTCTCAGCTGCTTGGAGGGGAGTGGAAAAGGGGCGAGACATAGTTTCTAGATGCTTTTGGGCAGGGAGCAGGGGTTAAGGGACCAGACATCTGTAAAGACAATAAGCCAGGCAGCAGAATATTTAGAAAGCCCTGAGCAAGGTCTTGAGTCTGTAGCTTCTGCTTGAGGTTGTCCTTGAGCCAACCAACACTGGTCCTGTGGTTTCTGGCAGCTGGAGGCATCTTCAAACTCAGCTACAGACTTCAGAAGCCTTCTAATTCTGAAGTTTGTTGAGCAACAACATTGTCCTGCTCCCCTCTGAAGAAGGGAAGTTCTAACATAGTCAGTCAAGACAGAGCCCACATTAACACTGCCAAACTTGGGATCATATAGCATTAGTACCTAACAGGATCTTTGGGTTTGGGAGCAAACAGGAAGATACTTTGGTAATTTGGGAGACTAGTTAGTGATCTAGTCCCTTTTGTTTAACAAATGAGGCAGTCAAGGCCCCAGGAGGGGCACTGACTTGTCTTAAAAGTCCTGTAAGCAGTAACTGACAGAGTGAAGATGGGACCCCAGTTTCTGCCCTCCAGGAGCATGTAAATAAACATGTACCTATGTTATGCTTGCAAAAGAGAAGGAATAAGAGGTTGGGGCAAGACAAGTAGGGAAATGATTAAATACCCCTTCCCTAGTTCCAGCAGGGATGTCACCCTTCTGAAACTGCAGCCATATTTGCCATTCAAAAGAACAGTTCCCAGGCATGCAATTTGTTTCTCAAAGGCATGGCTTTACACAATAACTGAGAAATGTGTAGAGTTATATAAGGTCGGTGACATTCAATTTTATAGATGAAAGAAGCTTTAGATATTATCAACCAGATCATCTGAGGCTTAGAGAGAGGAAGAGACTTGTTCAGGGTTATAGTTAATTGATATCCTACCCAACTACTTCACTTAGGCTGTAAAGCATTGTCCTTTGTTATAAAATGGGGGATAAAGTTTAGAAAGACCTTTATGCTTAGAATCAGAAGACTTAAGTTTGAATCCCATTTCTAACACTTAATATCTGTGAGACCCTGGAAAAAATCACCCCTTTTCCTGTTTCTCAGTTTATGTATTTGTAAAATAAGGAAGTTAAACTAACTGATTTCTAAAGTTTTCTTCAGTCTGATGGACTATAATTGCATTTCATGAACTACCCAGTCCCTTCAGTCCTACTCTTCAACCTGAGCACCCCTATATTCTTGGAAGTTAATTCCATGTCTGTTCTATACTGTGATTGGTTCCAGGTTGAGAAGGCAGCAGGACACAAGTGGGCAGCTCTCCATTGGTGAGAACCGTGTGGCACCCCCAGTTCATGGGAAGCTCCAGGACGGGAGAAACAACAACATCCTGAGCCAGGCCTGCACACGCGGCTGCAGCTGCTAGGCTCCTGTGTCCTTGCGTGAACCATGTCTCAGTCTCCATTCCCTTCTGTGCATGTGATGGTGTCTCTTTGTATCCCCTCCCTCCTAAACCAATCAAAAAAGAGCACTGATCTAGGACTCAGGAGATAGACAATCTAGTCCTGTGTCTACCACTGACTCTCTGTGTGAGACCTTGAGCAAGGTCTTTCCTCTTGCTTCCCATCTGACCTTGGGCAAGTCATCCAACCTCTCTCGGCCTCAGTTTCCTCCACTGCAAAACAAAGGGGTCAGACTAGATGGTATTTAAGTGTCCATTCCAACGCCAAATCCTATGATAACTTTTCCAGGCCTTCATTACCTCATCTGTCAAATGGGAATAATAATCCCAGCCCTGCTACCTCACAGGGCTGTTGCAAAGGTCAGACTTTGTGACAGATGGGAAAACCCTTCTAAAAAGTATGAATCACTATATAAAGTCAGTGCCTAGAGGTAAAAAGAACACTGACCCACGGAACAGGAGGAAGATGGAGTTCTGGTCCCAGCTATTCTACAAACTGTGTGACCTTGGGCAAAGTCACTCTCCCTCTCTGGGCCTTAACTTCCATGTTTGTGAGGGGGTTAGATTAGATCAGACTAAATTACATAAGGTCTCTTCAGGAGCTAACATTTTAGGTTCTACGCTCTAATGTCCCTTCTAGCTTTAACATTCTAGATTCTGTTCTAAGGTATCTTCTTGTGCCGACATACTAGGTTCTAAGGTCCCTTCAGGCTCTGATATTCTATGTTATAAGACCCCTTCTAGTTCAAATGTCTTATGTTCTAAGTCCCCTTCCAGCTTTACCCTTCTAGGTTGTAAAATCTCTTCAACGCTAACCTTCTTTTAAAACCCAATTACAGACAGCCCTTCCAAGTTCACAATTCAATTCATCCGCAGCAATTCCAACCCTGTCTAAACCATGCTTTGGGAAAACAAAGCCCCATCAGCATCTTCCTGGGAGAGAATCATCTTCAGAATCTGGGAACCAAACTTGAAACTTTGCAGTTTACATTCTCCGAGGCCAGACTGTGAGGTTTCAGACTCTTCACAAGGGCCCCCTCCCTCCCTGGCTCCCTGAGATTCATGTGCCAATCCACTTTAAAGGAAATTGTGTTCTGTTGTTGTATATGGAAGCCACCTGCAGCACCTGGAAGCTGGGGCTCCATGTGATTGCTAAATGTGACTAGAACATGTGCTGCCTCTTATGTCGATGTGTCTGTACCTGATGTCTCTGTGACTGCGGTGTTCTCTGTAGCCAACAACTAATGGCGATCAACTACCTGAAACCTAGTCATGCAACATGAATGTAAAGCTGGCTCATTTGTTCTCCCTCCACCCAATGCCTTCCTGTGAGATGAATAAAAAGGAACTTATTCTGATTGTATTAGGTTGGTGAGGAACTTTGGTCCTAGCTCCAGATGAAGAAACAGCTGACCCAGCCAAACACGATGTCCACACGGATTTAAAATGTCTTCTGTAAGATAGATAGAACAAAAATCCTGCCCTCAAGAAATGTGTGGGAGTGTGGGGCCTGGCACAGGAGGGGAAGGGAGGACATAAAAGGGAAAAACAACACATACAGATTTATATGAAAAAGGTATAGAGTCCAAAGGTCTGATGCAATCAAAGCTTTCCAGGGAAATTTGAAGAAGGCGACATTGTTTTCAGCTGTAGGGAATCAGAGAAGACTTCAGAGAGATGGCCCTTATGGTTGTAATTTAAGAAACTTATTCATTTAGAAGGTTTCACCTGTTGGAAAACCAAGAATTCTTTGGTATGTTCAGGGAAGCAATTCACATTTGGGAGGAACATTTTTCTCTCTTTTCCTGGGTATCCCCACAGTCAGGAAATGAGATAGGAGTCTTGGTATTTTTTCTACCTTTAAACTTGCTCCCCATACATCTGGATAAGTGCATGGCTGTGACCATGAATTGTGTTTTTACTTTGTATAGCTTTTCATCTGGAAGCCAAATTCCATTTTCACCTTTTTACCATGTGAATTAAGTCTTTGAGAGATAACAATAGCCTATCTTGTTTTTTTTTTAAAAATATTTTTACTGTATTGTATTGTTTAGTAACTTTTTTTATAAGAACAATATTTTTTTTCTTTAGAGTTGGGCCTATTTTTAAATTGTGTTGCTTACTTATTTAAGACTCTTTTTGCATTACTTCACAGTAATCTGCATTCTTACTCTGTCAGCTGAGCAAGTCATTCAGAGTAATGAAGTCAGTGTCTACACTAGCTCTAGCAGGGCTGTAGATGGTTCATTTTGTTGGTTTCGTTCATCAATTAGAGGGCAGGGATCAGACTAACCCCAGAGTCAGGAAAGGACATTGTTTTTTTCTGAGATCTGCTCAGGTCCATACCCATTCAGAATAAACTCTTTCTTGCTCATCCCTTCTTACAACCTTAGGTGTTTTTTGTTTGTTTATTTTGTTTTGTTTTCTTGAGAGTGTTGGGTGGGCAACATCACTCCATCTTTGAAGACACCAAAGTGAAACTCACATGGCAATATGTGATGTATGTTTCACCCTGAAAACAACTTTTGCCTGTAGTATGTTGGAAAGCACAGTAGACAAGGGGTCAGTCAACTAACCTGACTTTCAGCCTCAGACCTGCCATTTCACATCTCAGGGCTTCAAGTGCCATATCCAAACAATGACAAGATTTCAGATTATGATCTCCAACCCCCTTCCAACTTTGACCTCTGGATATTCTATGTTCTAATATCCTTTCTAGTCCTAAGGTTTTATGTTCTACATTCTAAGGTTCCTCCCAATTCTAAAGTTCTATGTTAAAAATCTCTTCCTCACTTAGCATCCAAAGTTTCCTCCAATGTTACTAAGTTTAGGCATGGGAATAGACCTGTGCAGGATTTTAAAGTAGACGAAATATATTCTTGGCACTCTCCCATATCCGTTTCTTACTCACTTTCCCAATGCTTGGTGCTCTACTTCCCCTGCCTGGCCAGTTACCCAAATCTTTCAAACTTTCCTCTGGTTTCTCAATATTCCTCACTCATCTCCTAACTCCTTTCAGCACTGCCCTCCCTCACAATGCCTCATGCATCAACACTACCCTGGACTTGGACAGACAATTTTTTAAACCCATGTTTCTTATATTTATCTCTATTAAATTCCTTCCTTCCTTCTCTTCTACCCACATCAAAACTCTCATTCCCTCAATGTGGTTGATTTCCTGTAGGAAAGAAATCTGAACAAACTGATCCACTCTAATGTGTGAATAAGTAAGTCTAAGAAAACTAAGAGATAGCTAATACACTAGATGGTAGGAGACGGACAATTATCCTGATAGGCTAAAATGGTAGCGTGAAGAGAACAGTCAGTCAATAGTTATTTACACATTACTTACTATGTGCCGGGCACTATGCTAAGTATTTCGAATACAAAGAAAGGGGTAAAAACATCTCTCCATTAAAGGAGGGCACAGTGTAATAGGCGAGACATACCAATAACAAGATAGATAAAAGATACAGAAAGCAGAAGAAGATAAATCTAAAAAGGGAAGGAAATAGATGCTAGGGACTGAGAAGGGCCTCTAACAGATAGTGGGATTTGAGTTGAATCTTGAAGAAAGCCAGTGAAATGAGGAGGCAGAGATTTTCTAGGCATTGGAGAAAGTAATAGGAAGTTCAGAAGCAGGAAGTGCCTGGACAGAAAAATAATTAATCTTCTTTCCATTCATTGGGTAGAACAGTGGATAGAGCACTGGGCCTGGAACCAGGAAGACCTGAGTTCAAATCCATCCTCAGACACCTACTAGCTGTGTGACTCTGGGCAAGTCCATCAACCCCTGTTTGACTCAGTTTCCTCCTCTGTAAAATGGAGATAATAACAGCATCTCAGGGGTGTAGTGAGGAGCAAATGAAATAATGATTCAAAAGCACTTAGCACAGTGTCTGGCATATAGTAAGCACCATATAAATATTAGCCATTAACATTATTATTCTTTTGGACATGTTGAGAATCACTGAATATAACTGAATATGATGAAAGTTTTCTCACTTGTAATAATGAAGATAATGATAGCAGCCACCCCACAAGGTTATTGTGAGGATCAAATGATAAAATAGATGCCCAGTTCTTCAAGTGATACATAAATGCTACCAATTATTATTTGAGTACCTAGCAGGTGCAGTGGATGGAGCACCAGGGCCTGGAGACAAGGAGACCAGTTCAAACCTGCTTCAGACCCTTACTAGCTGTGTGACACTGGGCAAATCACTTAGGTTCTATCTGCTTCAGTCTCCTCAACTATAAAATGGGGATGATCATAGCACCTACCTCATAGGGTTGCTGTGAGGATCAAATAAGATAATATCTGTAAAGCACTTAGCACTGTGACTGGCACATAGTAGGCATTGAATAAATGCTTGATCCTTCTCTCCCTCCCTATAAAACAAAACTTTGGGTAAGGTAAAATATGAAAGCAACTTTGGAAAAAGGTCCGGGAATAGGGATCATAAAACCTATTCTAGGGAGGAACAGAACCAAAATGGTAGAGTAAAGGCAGAAACCCAACCAAACTCGCCCAATATCATCCTCCAAACAACTCTAAAATAACTCGCTGAGTCAACTTTTGGAGTATAGAGTCAAAAAAAGTCAGAATGAGACATGCGTCCAGCCTACGTCAACTTAGGAGGTCAGCAGAAGAAGTCTGTAGCAGCGTGGTGGCGGCCAGCCAGGAGACGACATGATGGCAACATCAGCAGTGGCCCTGAGAGGTGGCTATAGTGGTAGGAGGAGCAGCTCTGGAAGCTATCTGCCCAGAGACAGAAAGGGTGGTTGGGTTGCAAGGAAACAGGGGCCCTGGTTGCTGTTCCAAGGCAGAAAGGAACACTAATGCTTGTAGCTGCAGGAAAGCAAAGTTCCTGGTCACAAACTGAAGGCAGAGAGGAGAACAAATGCTTATGGCTGCAGGAGAGCAAGGGACCTAGTCACAGTTTCAGGGCCAAGAGAAGTGCTAGTGTTTGCACCTGCAGGGGAGTAGGGCCCTACTTGGTTAAAGACCAGAGCGTAGACCAGGAGAGCAGTGACTACACCTCTTCCAGGATCACACCACTTTCAAAGCACTAAAATCTTGTAGATCCCCCCCTGAACTAGCTCTGAAAACAGCAGCAAGAAAAAGCCTGAAGGTTGGGACAGTGCCCAGGGTGAGCAGAGCCCAATTTTAACATAAAGTTCGAAGTTAGGAAATAGGCTGGAAAACTGAGCAGTCAGTTTTCAAAACACTACTATGGTGGCAGGGAAGGCTAAAACATAAACTAAGATACTAACATGAAAACAGCTACAACGAAAGCATCAAAGAGAAATGGTAAATATACCTGAGCTCAACAAGAATTCCTGGAAGAGTTAAAGAAAGAAATGAGTATTAGAGGGAAAATTGGGAAAAGAAATGAGAGCAGTGCAAGAAAATTATTCAAAGAAAACTAACAGCTTGATAAAAGAAGCACCAGAAAGAAAGAAAGAAAGAAAGAAAGAAAGAAAGAAAGAAAGAAAGAAAGAAAGAAAGAAAGAAAGAGAAAATAACACTTCAAAAAACAGAATTGGCCTAATGGCTAAAAAAGAAAAAAAAAGGACACAAAAATTCACTAACGAAAAGAACTCCTTGAAAAACAGAATAGGCCAAATGGGAAAAGAATACAAAAGCTTACTGAAGAAAATAATTCCTTAAAAATTAGAATTGGGCAACTAACTAGAAGCTTGATTCCATGAGACATCAAGGAACTATAAAACAAAGTCAAAAGAATGAAAAATACAGAAAAAAAAGTAAAATATCTCATCAGAAAAACAACTGACCTGGAAAATATATTGAGGAGAGATCATTTAGGAATTATTGGACTATCTAAAAGGCACTTTTTAAAAAAAAAAAAGAAAGCATATATATATATATATATATATATATATATATATATATGTATGTATGTATGTATATATATATATATATATATATGTATGTATGTATATATATCAAGGAAAACTGCCCCAATGTCTTAAATTCAGAGGGTAAAATAGAAATTGAAACAATCTACCAACCACCTCCTGAAAACATCCCAAAGTAAAAACCCCCAGGAATATTATAGCCAAATTCCAGAGCTCCCAGGTCAAGGATAAAGTATTGAAAGCAGTCAGAAAGAAACAATTCAAATATCATGGAGTCATAATCAGGATCACATAAGATTTAGCAGCTTCCACATCATAGGACCTTGGAATGTGGTATTCTGGAAGGCAAAAGAGTTAGGATTACAACCAATAATAACCTACTCAGCAAACATGAATATAGTCCTTCAGGGGAAAAATTTATATTTAATGAAATAGATGACTTTTAAGTATTCTTGATAAAAAGACCAGAGCTGAATAGAAAAACTTGACATTCAAACATAAGACTCAAGAGAAGCATAAAAAGGTAAGTGTAAAAGAGTAACCATATGGGAATCAATAAAGTTAAACTGGTCACATTCCTACATGAGAAGATGATACATGTAACTCCTCAGAAGTTTCTCACTATTACATCAGTTGGAAGGAGTCTACGTAGACACAGAGCATGAATGTGATTAGGATGATCTCCAAAATATTAAATGAAAGAGTAAGAAAGAGGGCTGTCCTGGAAGAAAGAGTAAGGGAGAGGTGAAGTGGGAATTTTTGTTTTCTTACATAAAAGAGGCATGCAAAGAAGAACTTTTAAAGTGGAAAGGAAAATGGGAGGGAAGATGGTAGGCAATACTTGAACCTCACTCTCATTGGAATTGGTCCAAAGAAGGAAGAAAATATCTATATATCTAAATACATATTTACTACATATTATATATACATGTTTATCTATCTATATATCTCTATATCTATCTATCTATCCACATACACACACACTCAGTTGGATATAGAAATCTATCTTACCCATTAGGGAACTAGGAGGGAAGGGGATGACAGATATAGGGGAGGAGATGATAAAATGGAGGGCAGATTAAGAGAGGCAGTGGTCAGAAGCAAAACAAATTTTTT